AGACAGCGTGTAATCACCGTAGATGATAGAGCTCCCGGCGGTCAAAATACGGCACAGGACGGGACAGTGCATGGCTTCGATAGTCACGGTGGAGTGTGGGTTGAGGGCGATATGATCGATGTCCTTCTGCACCTCCTGGAAGAGTTCGGATGTCTCAATCGAGCACTTGGTTAGGTGTGCTTGAACGAAGTCGGGGTCCACCTTAGGTGCCGTTTCTGTGCGGTTTTTCGGGAATCGGGACGGTTGTTAGCATTAGCATCAGTGCGTTGACGACGTAGAGGAGAGCAACCACAGTCGAAGAAGGATATCGTACCATTGGCCCAAGAAGCGCCTGACACGCCGTCGACCGAGTCTACGGAGCCGGAGGACATGGCTGAACTGCGTAAGCTTGAGATCACACCAGCCGTTCTTGCGGGTTATATAGTTTCGGTAGCTGAGTTTAAAATTTGTGGAAGGCAGGCCGAAGCGTGTGTCATATATGCAGAGAGAGCTGGTTGGATGTATGTGGTTGGGAGAAGACCACAAGCGCCACCAAGTCATATGGGCGTCTAGTTGTTCTTTATGTGACTTCGCGTGACAGTCCACTGGATCAAGTTGGCCAAGACACTGTGGTCTGTTCCCCTCTTCCAAACGATACTGACGGTCCGCTTACCACTGGTAGAGTAACCGGATCTCAGTCTGAACACTGCAAGTTGTGAGTCCCCGGACTCCCAGGCCCGCGGTCCGAGTCGGAGCCTACTTCTCCACATTGCCCCCTTGACCTGATGAGGTCCCACTATTTTGGAAGGACACTGGCAGAAGGGTTACAGCCTGAGCAGCACAACACGTGTTCATCAATAGCGCACTTGAGCGATGATGGAGTCCAAAGAGAATAAGTACGATCATACAATGCGAAGCAGCAAAGTCAAATCTTCCAAGAGGCTATACCTTCAGGACGTCAACACGCGGATATGAGGCTGCTAAGGTGGGTCTAATTGCCAGAGCATCGATCCAGCTCGTGCTTGAATGGTCGATGTTAGTCACCGTATGCAGTGTAACGTGCATTCACAGTCGCCCACACTGACTGGTGAGTTTGCCGCCATGTAGCTTGTAAAATAATTCCTCATTCTGTCAGTGAAGAAACCGCCAATCCATGCAAGGGAAGACTGTACCGTCTGCCGACACTTTTCTCAGCCTCAAGGTGTACGATTTGAAAAACTAGGACAAATCAAAACAGGATAGCTCGATATGCGATTCCGGGCAAGAAAGTGAGGCTACGGCTACGGGAGGATACATAACCTGGGGACACGGAGCCATGGGTCAGAGACTCGGAAGACAAAAGGTCCATAACCAAACGCAGGTCGAGGACAAGAAACGAGAAATTCTGGATACTGCATTACTTCAGATCAGAGGTCAGGGTGCGCGACGATATCGATATCGACCGGCGAGGCGAGCGAGATCTAGTAAAGAGCAAGTAGGTAGGGGGGAAGGCGGAGAGATTCCGGGCTCCGCGATGCGAGGTATATACTATGTGACACATGGGTGGATGTGGGTGTGTATGCTGGAGTAGAAGTGGAATGCGGGTGCATGCAATGAAACGAGCGGCGGGGTGTACGCTGAGATAGGGCAATAACATTTACTGTATGAGTATTTGGAGGATGAACGGATTAGCGCGAGATGGCGCTCCGATAAATGATGGCAGGAATACAGCGAGCAAAAAACAGCGAGAGCGGGACGCAAGATAAACGAACGTGGATGCGAACCCCATTCACTCCACGCCGACACCTTGCACGATCTCGTGTGTTGATCACGGCCCCCAACGGTGTCCCGAGGTCCGTCATGCCGCAAGTAGTGTATGTTCGGGGAAGGAGAGTATGCCGGCGGACGGATGAATAGTGGTCGCCCTACATGACGACGCACTGGCACCCTTGGTTGGGCATAGCAAATGGATCTTCCGCCTTGCTGACGGGTCCCCACACCGATGGAATCTGGAGAGATTAACGTGAGTGATGAGAATCATGCATCTACGTCGGAAGTGTGATGAAGAGCAGCGCAGGCCTATCGTCTGATACAACGATGCCTGATATGAAGCCGGGACGGGGCTCAAGTATCAGCCCCAATATAAGCATCTGAGAATCAGAGCACATGCACCGCCTTCATGCTAGTGCTTGAAGACGGCGTCCGTGCCTTCGTCTGATTTTGGCTCCCGAGTCAGCGCGTATATGCATATTGTAAGCATATAAGCACGGGCACGAGAGGACGACTGACCAACACAAAGCGGGGCGCTGGGAACGCAACAAACAGATATATGGTCCAGGGATGAACCAGAAACAGGAGATCAAGCAATTGTGACGGCGGGGCCGGTCTGCACCAGTCCTTGTCCATCTGAATGTCTCTCGTGGACTGTTGATAGGCTTAGACAAGTATCCAGTAACGTTCGATGATGATATTCACAGTTACTGACAAAAAGCCACGGTCGTGGCTGAGCATCAGGCCTCCTCGGCGGATCGGAGATGTAAGGAGACTGCGGTGACTCCACATGCGAGCTTCTTCAAAAAGAGGGAGGACAGCGCATGCAGGACGATAGTTACATGTGTGAATTTGATAGTCAAACGTACCAGTTCCCCATGACCTTGTCACAAATCCCAGGGATTTCCGCGCTTGTCCTGATGGACGGGGCGAAGACAGGTGCGACGCCCGCAAACACACGGCAGGGGGGCACAATACGACAACTGCTGCCCACCCTCCCCTCAAACCTTCCCGGCACCAATGAGGCAAGCTCGCCTCGGGCTTGGGATCGCAAAAGGGATGAGGAGAAGGGCGGCGATGGGAGGGACAGCCGCAACGCGGGGAATATGTGTGCCGGATACCTGGACATACCAATCCCTGACCAGTTTATCGCGGGACATCTGAGTCGCGTGTTGGGCGTCGATGCAGCCTGACGCATATACATCCTCCATAGCTGGCAGTGGCCCTACGCACACGTAGCAAATTGACGTGGTGTCCAGCTCCCCTCAATCTCTCCCTCGCACCGACCAGAAAGTCTCAATGTTGATGATACAGGGGATATGATACTCACTAGGTGATCTGGAGTGGACTTGCAGAAGTTGATCAAGCTGTTACGCAGCAGACGAGGATGAACAACGGCGTCCGCTGAGCATAATTGGTGCATGCTTACCTCTTGCTCGCCTCGCTGACCCGGATCCTTGGTCGCGCGAGGTCCTCCTTGAGCCTCTGGTTGTGTTCTGTCAGCCTGCGGAGCTTGAGTTCAGACATGGACTGCTTTGGGACACGGCCGCTCATGTTGACGATGTCGACGATGACGGAAACAAGGTGTCGGAGTGTCTGAGACTCTGGGGGCGGATGGAAGAGATTCTGGTGCGAGAACGGGGAGTAGCCGGACTCGCAGAAGAAGACGGGAAAGAGGGACGAAGAGGGGAAGACCAAGGGAAGACTGAAGAACGGGCGAGCGAAAGGGGGCGGCGCCAACACAGAACGACCAGAAGCGTGATCTCTCTTGGCGCTTACCCGCATACACCTCGTCCCGTCCACTCCTTCGTTCTTTCTCTCCTCCAACTCCCCGCCACCCTCGCCGTCGTCGACATGGGCAAACACACCACGCATCTCGTCCAGCGCGCCTCCCCCCTCGCCGTCAAGACACACAGAGTCCGCTTCGGTAAGTTCGCGCGCCCTGTCGTTGCGCACGTCACGCTCACGGCCTCAGCCACCCGTTCCGCACAGCATCAGAAGGCTCCGTTTGTTACCCGACCTAACGTATCCAGAAGCCCGGCCCCGCGGTCGCGGCTGCACTCGACCAATACCAACCGTTTCCTCTCTGCACGCAGCCAGCTCTCGACGATTCGCGAGGAACCTGAAGAGGACGAGTCGGAGCACCAGCTTACTGAATCGCGTGAACTCTACAGGCCGCTCGAGAGTTGGGCGCACGAGGACGCACGGCCTGGCCCCTCGCGCAGACAGGGACATGACGACGATGTCGACATGCTTGCTTGGGACGACGAGACCACGCTGGTGGCCATGCTACAAGAAGAGTGAGTGGCATTTGAGTGCATATATGCACGTATATTCGCCTTCGGATGGTTGACTCGCAAATCTAGCACGGAAGAGGAAGACGAGGAAGAGCAACTCATGGCTCTAGTCGAGCAATTGAAAAGTCCCATGACGGCACAAGGGGGTATGCTCAAGCAATACTTGAAAGACACGCTTCTTCCCGCGTACAACAACATCAAGGCAACACACGGCAAACTAGATGACAAAGGTAAGCTCCGGAGTAGTCAGACTGTATGCGCCGCATGGATCCACTCTAATATGCCGTACATGCAGTGGATCTAGCCTTCGGCGCAGGGCTGCTCACCTTCGATGAAGTATGCAAGAAGGTTGAGCGCATCGCCCTCAGGGACGAGGACGAACTTAAGACCGCACAGGCCGAATCGAAGGTGTGTCCACCCGGTCCCTCATACCCCGGTTAGCCCAACGCGGCTGCTCGCTCGCATAGCGAAACATTGCGAAGACTCTAGAGGAGCTCGAGCGCGCGTACGATCGACGGAAGGAACTCTGGCGGACACTCGAAGAGGAACTCGACCGCTGTGGTAACTATCTTTGGCTGGCTGACTTCCTCGTCATCGGATAAATGTCTCTGACGGCACTATTCTGGGAAGCGACACGTGCAACTGGTGCTCTCGAGACCCTTTCGGCAGACGTGGAGCAAACCATCGCCCTCTTAGAGAAGAAAAGTAAAGTGATGGACAAAGAATCCGCGAGCTCAGTCAACCAGAAGATGTTGCGTGGCCTTCTTGAGAAGCTGTAGACTAGACCGTCGGTCTACTCGCAAATGTCACTCACGTTCCGTTTGACTTGATGTCGTTCCTGCCTCTATATTGTCTGCGCTTTGTTGTAGTTCCGGGCTGTTTCGTTCACTTGAGATTCTCAAGTTCCGCATGAAATCTGGGGCTGTGACAGTAGTTACACTTCTCATATATGTGTATAAATGTCTTACCTCCGTTGGCCTGGTGGTCTAGTAGTATGATTCCTTCTTAGGGTATCGTCGTGCACGATGGATTTGGAGGAGGTCCCGGGTTCAATTCCCGGCCAGGCCCTTTTGGCCCTCGCAGAGGGTACCTTCCTTCAAGTACACCCACATTTTGTGGGCGAGAATAAATGGTGGTCGTGCTCCTTTTGCGCTTCAATAGCCCACGCGACCGATAGCGGTAGCTCAGTTAACGACGGTAAGCCTTAAGATGCACACATCTCTGTCAGCCATCGTATGTGTTACCCATGGCAAAACTGTAGACATTACAGTCCGTAAGTATATAAAACGACGCCAGCAGGATTCGAACCTGCGCCTCCAAAGGAGAACAGATTTCTAATCTGTCGCCGTAACCACTTGGCTATAGCGCCCTATGGTTCAATTCCGCACACTTTTGTCTGTGCTAATATGACTGCTGCTGGACATGCGCCTCAGAGTCACCGTTTTCGTCCTTGTTAGCCACTGTCAACCATCTCTGCGTCAGTTCAAGTGAGGTGTGTATGTTCCGAACACTGCAGATTATAGCACGTCATGACTTTGCATAACCAGACTGGCGTATTCGCTGCTCACGCTTATGTCGGCTCGAGGAATCACTCATATTGCCCGTCTTACTCTCTTCTCTGGTCCACACTGTTCTCTCTGCGACGTGCGTATCCATCATCTCACATATTGCAGCCTACTCACTATTCTGATTATGATTCTCAGATTGCGAAAGCGGAGTTGGCCAAAGTACGACAGCAGCGGCAATTCGAGCTCGAGACTGTCAACATCCAAGGCGAGGGCCAGGAACGCTGGAAGAAGAAGTATGTCTACTGGATTCCCGCGCTGCACATCGAGGGGAAGGAGGTGGCCAAGGGCCGATGGGATGCACAGACGGTCAACCAGGCGTTGGATACGTGGGAGGCTTCACCGTGGACCAAAGAGGACTAATAGGCGCGTCGGAATACATTGCCCACTCCCCCTCCAGTCTCCCCTTTACTATCGCGTGCACGAAGATGTACTTGGGGAGGACACTGCGGAAGAAGACTCTCCTGATGTCCCCCGCTGCTTCAATTGCGGCGAGCCCGACCACGTCGTCTCAGCGTGTCCCCAACCCTTCGACAGCGCTCTCGTGGCACTCTCCCGACAGATGTTCAACTTCTTCCGTGGCGGGTCTGGCGGTCCATCTCAGCGCTTCCATGAAGCTGCAGAATGGCGCACTGAGCGACTCAGATGGCTCGACCGGTTCGAACCGGGCGAAATCAAGGGCTCGCTCCTGCGAGATGCTCTAGGCTTGGAAGAGGGTGACGTCGGCGAGCGCGTCGAGTGGCTCAGAAAAATGGCTTATTGGGGATACCCTCCAGGCTGGGTCGGGTCACACGATCCGCGCGAGAACGTCTGGGAGCGCATCGCGGACGCTGCTGAAGACTCTGAAGACGAGTGCGAATTCACCATCCACGGCGATGACGGTGAAGAGCGGTGCATTCTTCCCGGCGCCATAGGTTCACGGTCACCCCAAATTGACGAGGACGAGCTCTCCGAGGCAGCTCCTGCGAGATTCGCTCGTTGGGCGAAGTACCCTGACACATTCTTCCTCTATTCCATGCTACCAGTATACACGGGATGGCGATTCCCCTCGCCCGGGGCCGAACGTCGTTCTCCCCCTGTCGCTCGTGTCAGCTCAACGTATACGGCTGACCGTCAGGCTCTGTGGCAGACCATCTTGGAATCATCGACCAGCCCCGTCTTGCGTACACCATCTGTTCCTCCATGGAGACAACCTTCGGCGTTCGGTTATGACTGGACGGTCTATCCTCCTTACCCTCCTGGTACCCCACCACCACCACCATCTATACCGCCGCCGCTCCCTGATGGGCCTGTTACATGACCTCCTTTGCTCATCGCATCCCCACTACCAGAGGACGAGGACGAGGAGATGGATCTCTCCGACTGAAGAATGCCGATATGTTACCTTGCTGGTGTATTGGCCGACTTCGACCGCACACAATACTACATTGGGAATGTTGCAGCACGCGCAGTGTGCGCTCATAATTATGCAAGTCTAGAATAACAGGTAGGATACATCAGCTCTACATGGGGGTGAAATAAGGCTACAGTGAGGCGACAGTCCGGCAAGCGTCAATGGACAGATGGTCCAGTCGTCGTGAGTTGTCGTCATGTCCGTGCATGTGTAATCTTCACTCAGATGGCCGTTCCACTTGACTTGAACATGGGCTCTGGCGTGCCAGCGCGAGAGCTGTTGGGGCGTGGTGGTTGTGCGTAGCGCGGAAGGCTTTCAAGCGGCTTCGAGATGAGGAAACCTACAGCACGGCATCACATCAGCACGGTCCTCCTCGCACATCAACCCCTCGACGTACCCTTCAGTCCCGCGGCCTTCTCTGCCTGTCGTCCGAACCCATTTCCGCGATATCCTTGCTCATCTGCGCCCGTCTTCTCGTTAAAGACCTTGCCGATGAACGTCTGCGAGGGGCGCGTGAACTGCGGGCGGAGGTCCTTGTGCGTCGGGAGAACACCCTTGGCCTCCTCGCGCCAGGACATGATCGAGCGCTTGCGCTTGACCTTCTCGCGGAAGAGGCCGATGAGCATGTTGAGACAGCCGAGGGAGAAGAGGAAGAAGGCGGCGACGAGCGTGAAGTCGTCGACGTGGTGCGAGAGGATCGTCGCGCCAATGAGGCATTGGAAGATGCCGAGCGCGCCCAGGCCGAAGTCGGGGCCCAGCACGGGGAAGTACGTCTGGAAGAAGGACACGGGCCAGCCGATCTCGGACAGGATGAGGACGATGATTTGAAAGATGATGAGCAGCCTGTTGACCACGGCCCAGAACGCGCCTGCGGCCTGATTTGGAACCGTGCTCCCGCTGTGGTCGAAGTGCGTGGTCAGCATTTGTGTTTGTGGATAGATGGGACTGCGTGCTTACTCGATGTAGTCGCAGTCAGTCATATCCACGTTGCCTGCGGCGGCGCGGTTGACGGCTTGGATGTCATTGACGAGAACAAATATGCTACTCGCGAAGACGAGGAGCATGGAGATGATGCTCAAGGCACGGACGGCGTTGAGACCGATGAAGAAGTCTGCGAGTCATGCTTGTTGGTGTCTAGTGGGGCGATGAGGAACATGTGGTACTCACATGCACGAGGAGGAAGCATGGTGTTCGCTGATGGTATCCTTCAAAAAATAACCCAGAAAATGCGCTTGGAAGTAATGACTGAAAACAGTGGTTTGAGAATTGCTCGAAACGGGTTGGAGAGAGTGTCGAGTCGGTGCGTCGTTGAGGGAGACTCGAGGAAGAGGTGTCCCAGCACCTAGCAGGTGGCAAGAAAGTGAATGTCGTGGAACAGCAGAGAGCTGAAAGTGGTCGTTCTCCCAGCGCCGCACCTGGTGTGCTTTATACTATCTACCAGAACGCTTTGCCTCATTGTCCGGGGTACTATTGTCTCCTTGACCGCCGAATGAAAGGACAATAGGCTCGCATGGTTCCGAACCATAACAATTGCCTTTTACAGCAAACTTACGTAAGGACTGTTAGCCTTTGTGGGCGCTTCTATTCATTTGCCCACACGCCGCGTTAGACGCTCGTGCGCCTTCTTCCGTTGACTCACGCGCCAGGCGTCGAGAGAACAACAGTGTACGTATTCGCATGGTAACGTACATCAGCAGAAGCGGTGGACAGGTAGTACATGTCGATCGTACATTTACAATAAGGTGAACAAACTAGCGACGAATCGTATCGCATCCCGATCAACGACCGTGTGCACACGAAGCAAAGTAGTCTCGAAAAGCAGAACAACGGGACCCATGCGAGACATCGAGATAAAAAGCAATCCCATGGGAAGATAACATGCAGACAAGGCAGTGAAGAGCGCGACCATTATTCGCTGTATGCGGGAGGAGCTTCCGCTTGACTCGCCTGCAGGTTACATACGGATACAAGACTGATGATAGAGTATTGCCAGAAGTAGCATTGAGCAAGATATCACAATATCCAGGAAAACAGTTGCTATGCTGTTGCTGAAGACTCTGGGCGCATCGCCTGAGAAGAGACGTTGGCCCTCAGTGGCCCTTGCACAGCTTTATCCTCCTTCATTCTTTGGTCACAGTGAACGGGTCGGACTGAGCTTCGCCTCCATACTGGCTAAACAACTAGAGCTTTGCTTGTTGATTATGACTTGCGATGAGCAGTTCAAGCGCTTGATCGTCTCAGCTTATTATGTACTTCAAATCCTCGGCAATTTGAAGGATCAAAGGCTGGCAGGTTGCTGCGAACATCTTGCGTTCATATTAGTACATGGCGTGGTATATGACAGCAGTAAATAAAGAAGCCATTCATGTACATCAAGAATGGCTGGTCAACCGGTCACGCCTCCTAAGTTCAAATATGACCGGGTTTTGCCGATCGACCGTAAGGTCTGCCGAGCCTTTACGAAGACGATGGTGGTGTGCATGTTATACTATGCTGTGTAGTAGTTATATTATTGATCTATAGTACAGATGCATGAGGCTGAAAGGATCGATCCAAGCTCTGCTGTTCCACGGTGGACCAAAGAGTAGTCGCGCGAACGATCATCTACCATATGCCAAACACAACTCATTGAAGATGTAGATGGAGAGGACGGACTGGGGCCGAGCGAGTAAAGGGAGGACAACGATGATGCAATTGCAGGTACCTGAGTCAAGCTGATCCGAGTGGGACTGTTCAATGAATGGAAAAAATATTACACAACAAGTGATTCAGAAGGCGGTGCTCATAGGCTGAGGCTTGGACAGTCCCATCGACGGCCCATAACGAGCGTGTCGTCGGAGGTAGAAGGGGTAACACTCTCGAAGTTCGAAGGGTCCCCGTCTGTCGCCTCCCACACATCCTCCAGCCAAGCCTACACCCACACCTGCCACTCGGGGTCTTCCTCACCTTCGTCGTCCTCGTCGTATTCGTCTTCTGCCGGTGTCTCCTCGCTGCTTTCCTCCGACCCCGAGTCTTGGGCGGCACGACACGAGCTCGAGTCCTCAGGTGCCAGCGCCGACTGAGTAGAGGCATGATCGCCGACAAGCGTACCTCCGGAGCTCCGCTGCACC